ACAAAGGCAAGAAGTGACTGGCTTACAAGCTTTCAAGAGGGAGCCTAGATCCAGAGGGCATGGAGGAAGGTAGAATCTCCACTAAGTAGTTTCCAATCTGTCTGGGTGGGACTGGTCAAAGGAGATGGGGATAGGTCTCTTGTGGTACAATAGTGAATAATTGTTATCAGGACTGACTTGGACATTTTGTAGCAAAAGGAGGGGAGTGGTTGACTTTGCAGTACAGGAGCAGTGGTCCCTGGGACCATCAAGGGAAAAGAGCAAAGTGAAGGATCTTACCCAGGGAAACAGTGACACCAGAGTTGGAGGCAGAGATGTTGACGTGGAGAGATGGCACAGCTGGGGACTCTAGACCCAGAAAGGGAGAGGGGTTGTAGGGTGGGGGGAGGGAAGACGGCTTGCTGGGTATACCCTTTGATTGGTTGATTATGCATGGAGGGGATAGTAACCATGGCACTGAAATGATATACAATAGGATAAATGTAAAGCTATTATTCTACCATGTAAACTATCTCATAATTCAAAATAAAACATTTTTTTTAAATTATCTATTGGTTTATTACTGTAATGGTATAACAGTAAATTTTTGGTTCGAGAACAAGTATTTAGTGGGTTTACTTTTCCAACAGGATATTATTCATAATTAATATCAAATCTGATGTTTATGTATACATTGTATACCCAGCAAGTTCAAAATGATTCTATGGAAATATGGTGTTAAGTTTCTTCCTGCATTTTGGAAGAAGTTAGGACTCTATCTCCATCCTTCTACCATCTCACATATACTTACTTTTAAAGTGTTAGCATACTAATAAAAATGTTATGGAGGTTGATGGTGATTATGTGCCACCAAGAAAGTTCTCACTCATAGTAACCCTGTGTAAGTTTTTTGAGACTGTAAACCTTCACAGGAATAGAAAGTCTCATGTATCTCCTGAGGAGTGACTGATAGATTCAAATTGCTGATCTTGTGGTAAACAGGCCAGCTCATAATCCACTATGCTACTTGTTGTTGTTGTTGTTGTTGTTATGTGCCGTGGAGTCGGTTCTGACTCATAGTGACCCTGTACAGGGTTTCTGACACTGTAAATCTTTAAGGAACAGAAAGCCTCATCTTTCTTCTAAGAACAGCTGGTAGTTTCGAACTGCTGACCTTGTGGTTCGCAACCCAATTCATAACCACTACGCTACCAGAGCTCCTTGTACTCCTTAAAAAATGTTATAGAAGTAGAATATTTGCTAAAGACCTGATTCAACATTTATGCTGTTTTTGTTGTTAAGTGCCATTGAATTGGTTCTAAGCCATAGTGACCCTGGTACTTACTAGGTTTCTGAGCAGTTGGTGGGTTTGAACTGCCAACCTTGCAGTTAGCAGTCTGGTGTTTATCCTGTGGTGCTACAGTAGGACTCCAGTACTAAATAGTGTATATTGTGTTGTTGTTGTTAAATGCCTTCAAGTTGGTTCCAACTCATAACAACTCTGTATAGGTTTTCTGAGGAGCAACTGGTAGATATGAGCTGCTGACCTTGTGGTTAGCACTCCAGTGCTAATCTTATAGTGCCACACCAGGACTTCAGTGATTGTGATTATGCCTTAAACTATTTTTTCAGAGGAACTCCTCATTTAGATTATCTTTTAACACCCCAGGTCATACCTTGTTTTTAAGTCATCAAGTCGGTTCCAATCCATAGCTATCCTGTATAGCGTATCCAAGAAGCAGCTGGTGAGATCGAGGTAGTGACTTTTTGGTTCATACTGACTTGGCATTTCAGGGCATTAACTCACAGAATCACACCAGGACTCCAAGTCATAACTAGACGATAGATATTTCATTTATCTCTTAGACCTTTACTTTTTATGAAAAGCTGTTTTCCAAGCCTTTGCCCACGTAGACCTAGTGAGTTTGAACCACAAACCCTTTGATTTAAATTGTAATCATTTCACAATAGGATTAAATTGTTGTTTCTGCATGTTATTTTATTTAGGGGAAGAAAATGGTTTGCTATGCAAGTTTTCCCATGGATTAAAAAAAAAGTGCACAAGAGTCTCTAGTAACTTTGGAGGAAACCTAGTTTACTTTTGCTTTAGTGTACCCAGAAGATTTCAAATCAATACTTAGTATTAACGTTTTAATTGAGAATTAACATCACCATAATTGGAAGTGAGAATCAGCATCCTGATACTTAGGAAAACGCTATTTGGTTGGGGAGGTCATTACACTGGAGAGCATAAACACTGGAAGGGGAAAACACTAATCATTTGTTTCCTTGGGCAAGGACACACACTAAGCACTTGCATTGGTGGTCAACTGTAATTTTCTCCTAGAGCCAGCAACTCTGGCAACTCTTTGGATTTATAGCAGAACACACAAGTAGCAGTGACTTTGAAAGCAAAGGATAAAATAATCCAACAAAAAGTTACTAGTTTCTAAAGGTCTGTTCCTTATTACAAGAATTTAAAGATTTCCCCCTCAACCTAAACTCCTGTTGCTATTTTCAACATGTCTTTCAGTTGTTCTTCCTAGATAATTACTCCTTGAGGAAGCCAATGACATTTGAGTCTGGATTATTGACTATCTTTTATTTTTCTGCCTGGGAATTTCAAACCAATATCCTCCAAACCTGAACAATGTCTATAGATTTGCTTTGCATTTGGGTAAAAATAAGAATCTTTAAATGTATTTAGCTTTTTATTTGCTTCCAAAATCTTTAAAAGTTCAATCACTTCTCCAAATTCCCCAGATTAACAAGAAACACCTATTCCCTCCACAGCCCTCTCCCACTGTAATCCCATCCCTGACCAGTCCTTCTAGGAAGAAGCATTCAAGTCAGATTTAGCTCCTTGGTGGAATGAAGAGGCAATTAGGGGAACGGGATTTCTTTAGGAATCAACCCTCAGTACCAGAAAGAAATTCTTCTCCTTTTTTCTTTTTCACTATTCACAAGAAGTGCCCACTGTCACCAGAGCCATGAGAGGAACCCACCAATAAGGAGTCTTCTGCCCTGTCCTGCAGACTACAGCCCCCCAACCTTCACCACATTGTCTGTGCAATGTGCAGGATTGGAGCGCAAAGCAGAGGCCTCAGCATCGCTCTCCACTCCTGGCGTAGTCAAAGTTCCTTTCCTGGGGCTGGAGGAAGGACCCTTGTGGAAGCAGAGTTTGAAAAGCCCCAACACTGTCATGGTCAAGATCACCAACACCACAACTGCTATGCTCACAAGTATGAAGACCACAGTAGAGGAGGAGTCAAAAGTTGGGGAAGTAGCAGAGGAAGACAAGGTGGAATTAAACTTGGGAATTACGCTTCCTGAAGGAGTGGTGGCTTGTTTTGACTTGGCTTTAGGGGATATTTGAAGGGTTGTCATCGTGCTTCGTGCTCCCCATCTCGGAATTTCTGGAATAGGTGGTGGTGTGCTGCCTTGTTGAGAGACAAGGGGTAGCTCTCCTTGTTTCTCATTGCCTCTGGGTGATCCCGTTCTCCTTGGTATAGGGCTAGCTGCAGTGATGTGCGGGCTCAGAGTGGCCACTTCAGTCTCCCCAGGGCTCAGCTGTTCTTCTCTATTGCTCACACATGAGCGGCCTTCCTTACTTAATTTAAAACCTGCAGCACATTCGCAGATAAAGGCTCCCAAGTCATCTAGGCAATTAGAGAGCTCAACGCATTTGCCAGCACGGAGGTACCTCCCTGGGCATGGGCAGAGCACGCCTTCGGAAGGTAACCCGTCCCAGTGCGTACCGACTTCGTCTGCGATGCAGTTGGCTGAGACGGTGAGCTGCCCCGGGCAGAGCGCACTCACCTCGGTCCCCGGGGGGCTGAAGTCCAGCGCGGCGCTGTACAGCTGGAAGGGCGCCCGGTAGCTCAAGTTGGAGGCGGCTCCGGGGCGCGGCGCGGGACACAAGCCTTCAAACTGGTATTTGCACAAATAGCCGTCTGCGCGCAGGTGGCAGCGCATCTCTTTCCAGCCTGCGGGCTCAACTCCCCCGGTGGTCTGCAGGCCTGCGCATCTCCTCGAGGTGCAGGAACGTTGGGGTTCTTCAACCCACTGCAGGGTCTCGCTTTCCAACCCGTCGCCGTCGGGTACCATCCAAGAAAAACCCCGTAGAGGCTTGTTCTCCTGGGTGCAGTAGGATTTCTGGCGCTCCAGAGAGACCCAGAACAGATGATCTTTGGAGCCCCCTCCAGGCCCTGGGCCTGCCCGCAGGAGCGCGAGCACTGCGCGGAGCTCTGGGCCTCCACGCACGGTACTGAGCGCCCCACCGCGCAGGCTGCAGGCCTCCTCAGCTGCCTTTCGTTGGATGGTAGCGTGGTGCAGGCTGTAGCAGGCCCCGGAGGCTGAGCAGCCGGCGCGGTCAGCTGTGGGGTGCTCCCCACGGCCAGGTACTGGGCAGAATGCCTGCCAGAGGAGGCACAAGGCGAAAGCCGGCCTCATCTCTGAAGACCCGAGCCCACAGCTGCTTCCTACTAGGGTCTTCTGTCCTTTTGGAAATCACAGAGCTGTCTCTTGATCCTAGTCACCGCCTCTTACAGCTGGCTTTACCCCGCCCTCGCTCCCACCACCCCACAGCCGCCAGAAAACCCCACCAGGGTCTGAGACGGCCAACAGTTTCCCTTAGGCCCCAGACAGGAAATGTGTTAGGAGCTCTGCCAGGTCCTGGGAAACCCTGATCCAGTAACACAGCAGGAGTGGGGCCAAAAGGAAAACAATCTACCAAAAGGTCACACACCCTACATAGAGCAGGGCAAAAAAAGAAAGTCTCCACTTACTTGAAGTGTATCCTTCCAATATCTCTGGCCCCCCAACTCAACCCTAAGGGCTTCATGGAGGCCATTTCGGCATCTAAGATCCCAGCACTCTTTGGCAGGAAGGATTGTAGAAAATGAATTTACTTATAATCATCTGACAGCCACACCCTCCCATTGTGTCTCCTTCCCAGCGGGGGAGTTGTGGTCAGAACAATTAATAGAGGGCTCTGCTGCAATCTTCTGCAGTCCTGTGACTTGTAGAAAAAAAAAATCTGGTAAGAAATCTAAACATCTTCGCCGCGGGAGGAAGCACTGTTTAACCAACATCCTTTTCCTATGTTCTTTTTCTCTGTTCTGTCAAAGGAGATTCAAACTTGCTAATACTAATTGCTAGTCAAAGTATTTAGAGTTTCCTTAATGGGAAAGTCAGTACTACCCTAAAAGTTTATTTTTCACTTTCAGTTTTTCTCTTTGAAATGGCCTATATTGGTTCATTCTGGAAATGAAATATATTTCTTTACAGAATACCTGCTAGGCCTAAATGAAAAATAATGGCCATAGACTCAATTTTTAAGTGATTCATAGCTTCAAGTTTATAAATAACATATAGAAGAGTTCATGACCTGACCTATGTGTAATTTTATCTTTGAATTATTTTTCTATCATTTCATTTTATGATTAAGTGCCAATAGTTATAGCTGTAAACTGTAATAGTCCCTTTTTAGGAATATTAGGATTCACCATCCTTGGTGGTGGTGGAGTGGGGAGTTTGTGTGCAGTGGATTCTGTTTGTGCTGTGTATTCGGTTCCAACTCATAACGATCCAGTGCATAGGATTTCCCAGGCTATAAATCTCTACAGGAGCAGAAAGCCTCCTCTTTCTCCAGTGGAGAAACTAGTAGATTCTAACTGCAGTGCAACTTCCTTAAGAAATTAAAATATTATATATGAATATTGTATTCTGTTTTTAAAGAAGAAAACCTGCAAGTTAAAAGATAGATGGGTGTCTCAGTTATCCAGTGCTGCTTTAACAGAAATAACCACAGGTTGATGACTTAACAAACAGAAATTTTTTTCTTACAGTTTAGGAGACTGGAAGTGCTAATTCAGGGTATCAATTCTAGCAAAGCTTTCTCATTCTGTCTGCTCCGAAGCAAGGTCCTGGTCTTACCTGAGCTTCTGCCTTTGGGTGATCTTCATCAGTCTTGACATCTCCCTTTCCACATCTTTTCTAGTTTGGTAGTTTAATCTCTTTATATTTCAAAAGAGATATATTCTACACTAATCCTCCCTCATTAACAAATACAACCCTTTCACAAATGGGATTATAACCAAAGGCATTGTTGTTGTTGTGACGTGCCATCTAGTCAGTTCTGACCCATAGTGACCCAGTAGAAGGTTTCTGAGGAAAACACTGACCTTGCCATTCAAACTGACCTTACACTTCAGTGCATTAACCCACAGCACCGTACCAGGATTCCAACCAGACATACAGGTTAGAATTTACAATGCATATTTACATGGGAAAACATTAGCTTTACATTCATCCTATCTTACATCATTTCATTGCCATGGTTACAATCCCCTCCATGCATCATCAGCCAACCAGAGGGTATACCCTGCAAGCCTGCCCCCTGGTCATCAGCACACAGCCCCTCTCCCTCTCTGGGTCTAGAGTCCCCAGCCATTCTATCTCTCCAGGTCATGGTCTCTGCCTCTATCTCTGGCATTACTGCTTCTCTGGGTAAACCAGTCACTTCTTGTCTTTGTAGCCCCCCATTTGGGTAGCAAATGTCCAAGTTGCCCATCCCTGCCTATCCTGTGTATCAAGAGGGTAGGAATGATCCTCGTTGTAAAGATTTCTTCCCTCTTTTGAGCTACTGAATCCATAGGTGTAGGTCAAGTTCATCAAATTGTATCAGATTTACAAGCATATTTTGAGGGAACACAATTCAATCCATAACAGTGAATCAACTTCTTTAGAGTTCCAGCAGGCATTTTGTTTTGTTAGGCCCCATCTGCGGCCTTAACTATCATGAGACCCCAAAGAGATCATCAGGACTCGAGTTCGATGCAACAGCAAGAGGTTTATTGTTTATTTGCCAACGCGCTGGGGTCCACCCTCACATAGACTCCTAAAACCAGGAGCTGAAGGCGACCCTGCATTGTTTTACATACCAGTTTTTATAATTTTTTTTTGGGCATAATTGTACAGTATTATTGATACAGTTTCTGATTGGTTAGATATTCTTACTCTATACCTTTATTGGTCTTGGCATGAAGCAAGCTTTTTGACCTATAAGCTGATTGGCTTTGGCAAGGGATAAAACAGTCAATTGCAAGTGTGTGGTTGGAATATTCCCATCTCTCTGGGTCAGCCTGACCCTTATGAGTTTCTCAAGGATTATTTTGACATTGAGGTTTTGAGGGCTGGCCGAATGACCTCGTCTCTGGAGGGAACTAAAAACTAAGGCCTTGTCTATCCGAAATGTTTTCTGAAGCCTGACTAAAGTTTAGTCAAGTGATCTCTGGTTAGGCATGATCAGTTGGGTCCTTACAGTTTTAACATAAGCATAACAATTCCTTTAGAAATGGAGAGAAATTGAAGAGTAAAGAATTCCTGGAGTCCTGGTATGGCACTATAAGTTAATGGGCTGGACTGCAAGGTCAGTTTGAACCACAAGGTCGGTGGTTCAAGATTACCATTCCCTACATGGAAACCCTATACAGGGTCGCTATGGGTCAGAACCACCTTGCTGGCACTTAACAAAAACAATAACAAAAAACTGGTGTGTCAGTGAAGAATCAGCATTGGAATGTGAACCACAAAGTCCTTAGTTGAAACCTACTAGCTGCCACTCATAACCCTATGCAGAGTAGCTATAAACTGGAACCCACTCTGCCACAATTAACAGCAACAAAGGAAGGAGAGATGAGTAAAGAGAGCATGGTGGCTATTTAGTATAAGCACTGGACTGCAAACTATGCAGTGGGTTGGGAAAAGATGATCCTCTCTGTGTCCACTAAGATTTACAGCCTCAGAAACCCTATATATGTTCAGTATGAGTCAGAATCTATTAGATGACACTTAACAGCAAAACAAAGAAACAAAAGATTAAAGACTTTACTTTTTAGGGGAAAAAAATTTCTTGTAGCATCCAAGACAGTTCTACAACATTTTAGGGAATATGGCACTTTCTTTACTCCTGATACCCAAATGCTTTGCAACCAGAAGCACATAAAGAGTTCCACCTAAGTCCTTTTAAAAATGCATGATGCTTTAAAATATGCACAATCAGGATGAAAGCTACCATGCCATGAGTAATTCTTAAACTCACTTTGGTGGACTGAATTGTGACTGTTCAGTCTAATGAGGGACAGGAAGGAAGGCTTCAGGATTCCATCCATACATATACGTTTCCACCTCATTTTTGTCATTACTCTCACTCTACTTTTCCTTCCCAAAATTTCATGAAGTTAAACAGATGATAGTAAAGACCATAATTCATCACACTTACCTTGCCTTCACTGGCTGTGACTTTTGCAGCAGAATTTCTCTCCTACCATTACTACTTCCCAATGTAAAACACATTCATTAGTCCTTCAGTTCCAGATGACTTGAGAATCACCTTAAACATGACTTTACATTTAAATTAAGTCACTTAATGCTGATCAAGAAAGGAACATGAAAATGCAGAAATCTAATTAAATTGATTTTAAAAATAATCACTTTGGCCAGCTCTATATATCTTTGATACTTTGCAGTTTTATGGCTGTGTGTTTAGAAATGTATTTATGTAGCAATATATACTTTAATAAAACCTTTTAAATATATAAATAGCCAATGAAAATATCTTACACACTTTTAAAATCACTTGATAAGGTGAGGTTTCTAGAGTAAGGAAGAATGACTAGAAAGCTTGTGGTAAATATATGATCTCACTCACTGGCTTTTTGCCTAGGAAGATGGAATATTAGCAGAAAATAACAAAGTGTCCCTAATTATTATATATCTTAGTTCTGGCTGTACTTGGAGTGATGTGAGAGAAGAAGAGTTAGGGGAAAAAAACAGCTTAAAGCAAATCATATATCAGTTTGTAATTGATTGCTTTGTATTGCTCTGTATACCACTAACATATTTTACATATATGGAGTCCTGGTGTGGTGTTGTAGAATAAGTGCTGGACTGAAATGTCAGTTTGAATAGCTTGGTTGAGGTTCAAACTCACCAGTTGCTCCTCAGAAACCCTATATAAGATCACTGTGAGTTGGACTTCATTTTGCTTGGATCAAGTCGATGCTTATGAAAGCAGTAGTCAAGAAATCAGAGGATGTATTGCATTAGGCAAATCTACTCAAGACCTTTTAAAGGGTTGAAAAGCAAAGATGTCAGTTTGAGGACTAAGGTGCGCCTGACCCAAACCATGGTATTTTCAGTAGCCTCATATTCACGTGAAAGTTGAACTATGAATAAGGAAGATGGTAGAAGAATTGATGCCATTTGAGCTATGCTGTTGGAGAAGAATATTAAAAGTATAGTGGACTTCCAGAAGAACAACCAAATCTGTGTTGGAAGAAGTACAGCCAGAATGTTCCTTAGAAGCTGGGATGCCAGACTTAGTCTCCCATACTTCAGACTTATTATCTAGAGGGACCAACCCCTGTAGAAGGACATCATGCTTGGCA